CATTTTTTTCCGACAATCTTTTCTTTTCTCTATACGTTCTCTTAATTATTTTAAAATATTTTAATGCAAAAATAAATAAGAGAAAATGAAAATTATATCATTATTACATGGATAATACAGCATCAAAATTTTCCGTTGTAAAGCAGAAAATTTTGTTAATTTGTGATTTAATAAAATATATAATAAACATTTGCGCGCACGCGTGCGCCATTGGCAAAGATTAAAATTGTCTTTGATCAGATCATAGAAAGTTGATGCGTTTATTATAGATTTTATAATCTCAAAACTCTCATCGTTCACCCTATTAAACACTTACTATTAACTAATAATAGTTTGACATAAAATCCAAGGACAGATAAGTGCACTTATACGTGGGCGAACTACGGTCAAAGGTTAGCTTCTGCTTCCGAATGGTATGGCAAATCCTAGTATATGAGATCGCACATTTCTTAACAAAAAAATTTAATCTTCCTCCAATTTTTTATGTTCTTGTTTTATTTCTTTTTTAACATTTATAATATAAATTGCTATCATGTTTATATATGAGTGCGTATTGTTATATCTTTGCTTAAAATTGTGATTGATGTACTGACATCCAATTGATTGTAACCAATTATTTAACAAGTTATAACAGGTATTATCGTCTAACCAAATACGGAATTAGGCCACTTTGAGATGCGACACGCATCGAATAGCGTCTTTATTGATCAACAATATAAGCGGTGACGTAAATTCGGCCACGGAACCAAGCAAAAGCTGTCTGTCGTGTGGGTGTATTAGTCGCCATTGACTCGAAGAATAAACGCGGAAATGCGGATGCCAGGCGCGTTTGCCAGTTCGCCCATAAGACCATTAGCAGGAAACACCGGCGTTAATTAGACTTCCGGAATAAGTTGATGCCATACAAGCGTCGCCCACTTGCATTTGGCAAATTTGCGAAAATCTTGTGCTATATACGGATTTTTGAAGGTTACTATCTATAAAATTAAATTGGCAAAGTATTACTAACTTGAACCGGATTGTCATATGTTATAAAATAGCAATATTTCTATATAATTTTATATATAAAGAAAGCACATTATATTATGCTTATATAAATTATCTTAAATTTTAAGTTCATACGTCTCTCTGTATGTTCAAAGGATAAACGAGTAAATTAATGATTACCAAAACTAGAAGAATGGAATAAATGTATACTTAAATCCGCTTTCACGACTAGATAGATGCTATCGCTTTCGAGCGGATTATTATGAATTTGCGTGATTAGTAAGAATTATGAAGATAATCGGAACATCTTTTCTTAATGTTGTATACGAGTATCTTTTTACTTCCGATCCAGAGAAACCTAATCAGCAAAATATAGAATTTCAATTAGTAAAAACTCTAACACTAAGAATATATTTATGTTCAATAATCAGGAAAGTTGTTTTCTACATAAACAAACCTTGTGTACTACAAGTAGCAACACAAACTCGATTTCACGAAATGTGAGTACCTCAGTAAGTAGGTATACAGATGCTGACAGAAATAAATACATTCGTACAGATAGTCAATATAGATATCTTTGCAGGAAGGACAAAGTATAATATGTCCGCAGAATGGCAGACAAAATAGATATGTACACAGGTAGACAAACTAGATATTTCCACAGTCCGCACGCGAACGGACAAGTATAAAAATGGCTTCTTGTACATTACATGTACAAGACTTGTATTGATGGCGTACGTTGTATAGGAATTTATTATATTATTAAAGAAAAAAATATTTGATAGAATGCACTCTTTTGTGCTATAATAACTGGTAAGGTTTCACAAAATAATAACAATATATATTATCGCATTCGTATTGCATATTATTAGAGCTTTAATATATGTTTAATGATTATGTTTTTTTTATTTAAAAAAAAAATTGACCTTGGCCACACCATACAACGCGTATCTTTTCCGGCCAAGATATGTCGCGCCATCCATTCGGGCGAAGGTCAGGATTTCCTTTGCAGAATTGTCGATAATGCAGTTACCATGCAGCGTATACGTCGGATCGTTTATCGATTTCGGCACCCAGTGACCTATTTTCTAATCAAGCTCGAGGGAACTTTCGTAAGGATACAAATCTAACGTCGTTTTCGGCGCATGTTAAGTTTCTTCAAAGAAACGATTCAACCTTTTTGAGGGCGTACTTCTCAAAATGTGGGCAGCATTCATTCCCGATTATTATTTCTTACAAGTAACATTCCAGCCGGAAAACTAATTTGAGAAACTATAATATATATATTTTATCTTATTGTGCATGCTGATAAATCACAGAGAGTTGTCAAATTTCTTCAAGTTTTCTAAATATTTTCTTGTGTAGGTATACGCTCCCCCTTCCCCCTCCCCCCCCCACACACACACACACACACACACGTATTATGTAAAAAAATCATGCAGCCATATTTTTCAAAGATTAAGTTTACCCTTAAAATCTCTTTCATACCTACACGCACGAAGAAAATACAATAATTACGTATGTATCATTACATTACGTATTTCTCAAAATTATAAAACTTTGTAGCGCTTATAGTATATATTTTTTTCTTCAATTATTCAAAATAGGAAAAATATTTAAAATACACAAACGAACCAATCTTTGAATATTTCTATAAATAAACACAATTACACAATATTTGAATATTTAGGAGCATTCAATATGGAAAGTATTTAACCATACAAAAATAAAGAGACTTTATTGCAATAGTTTAAATAATTTTTGAATAGTTTCAAAGTGTGTACGTAACTTATACATATTAGAACGAGAGTTTATGCTCATATAATAAATTTACGTTTAGCCGTCCTCGACGGTAATGGTTGATTTTAGAAGTCCTTCGGTTTGTCCAAAGCCTCAAGAGAGAAATCAAGGAAGGTAGGACACTAAGAGAATATCGATTCGATCGTTACAAACAATTGACCAAACCGTATTGACCGAGGTTATTGTCCTCATAAATGTATTGTGTGCGCACATTTTGTATATGGCTATGTGTGTTTCGAGAACTATATCATACTTTTAATAGTTTTGTTGAAGTCGATTAGTATATCTTGATATCAATATATCGTACGATTTTAACTACTTGAAGTTTTACTTGCATCAACATGACCGTTGTACAATCAATTGATTAGAAACGGATAGAGATGGTTAGTCAACGCAATTATCGACCAAATAAATAAAACATCAAATTTAACATCGCTAAAAATCAATACCTAAACATCGATTAAATATATACTAATAAAGATTAATAAATATAATATTTCAAATCAAAAGTAAATGTGTTTATGGGTAGCAAGCTTTGATTAATTGATTTAATTGTAAGTTTTATTACTTCAAACTTGTGCCAACTTATTTCTAATATAAAAACAAAGTCTCGAGCGAAGAGATGTAATTTAATTGCAAACCACATTTATTTTAGAGAAAATTTAATTAACACGATACACGATGCGCCAGCGAAGTTATAATAATCCTTAAAACTTCGGCAGATCCGTTATTATGATAATAAGGATGATTCATTTCGGAAATGTAAGTGATTTGAGAATGGTTAAATTTCCTCGCAATTTACGCGTTGCGGAATTTCTTTCCAATAAGTTTTGAATTATGCACTGATTGTTGAACACTATTATATGTATATATGTATATTTTTACAGTTTGTCTTTATAATTATATACTTAATATACTTTCGTAAACAAATAATAAATAATAATAATACTTTTCAAGATCCTAATAAGTTTTCCTAGATTTTTATAACAAATAAAGTAAAATTGCGATAAATGAGACAGCCAAAACAAATGCAACGATTGATACGTGTACGCACACGTGGCAGACAGCTGGTTGGTAATACCGGATAAATATGTCATGTAAACACACATAAGTGAAGGGAAACATATGAAATCTGCATTTGAATGCACCTGGCTACCATTATCGTCACAGATATGGCTAAGACAGCGGAGATAAAATAGGCAAGCAAGCATTGCACGAATTTCTTATTATTCGATCCGGAAACAATTTTAATTTATTGCCTTTGGTCTTGTGATGAGATTAGGTGACAAAAACAAATTTAGAAACTGTCTGTTAAAAAATTAGATTATAAATTATGTATTATTACGCAAATGCTGCAGATTCTTCTTCTTTTGAATCTTCATTTATAAGAAAGATCTAAAGATTATTCAGAACAAATCAGAATTCCTTTTTTGCGTCATATTGTTTAACATTCGCTGAAATATATAACATAATGCTTTGGTCTTCGTTTTTAATGCAATACAAGATAAATTAATACAATTGAAAAATTGCGTGTTATCAAGTGATAACCGGAAAATTGTTTATCATGTGGACTTTTATATACGTCTTGCATCATACACAATATTGTAGGCAGGGCGGATCCCAACTATCCCAAGAGTGTTGCCCCACCCGTCGATACAAACTCTCTTAAAAACACGTTTCAAACTCGCATTATCAAAAATAGAAAGTTGAAACATCCAATGAAATTATTGAAATACATCCAATAAAATTATTGGTCGTAGAAATACTGAAGCTTGCAAGTTTCTTGAAAAAGTGACATAAAGAAATAAGTTAAGACTTTTGGTATATCCTGAATAAAATTTTACGAAGATTAAAAGTTTCTAATTCAATGATTTATATATTCTATAAATTTTTTAATTCAAAGTACTAATAAGTTCCTTTTTGGAATGGAATTAACATATTTTATATTAAATGTGCATCGAAAAAGGATCCAAGAGAGATCAATGGAAGCAGGAAGATGAAGAATATAAGAAAAGGAAATAATACAGGAAATAAAACAGGAAAACCAAACTATCAATACGCATACACACGTTTTCGTTCGTTCGGTCGTGTGCATGTGTGTGCGTGTGCATGTGTGTGCGTGTGCGTGTGCGTGCGTGTGTGTGTGTGTGTGTGTGTCGCTGTATGTAGGTGTAGTCGTATGTAGTTGTGTCAGGACTCTATGATAGACTCACCCGCCAGCAACCAGGATCATCTGCATGTTGCATGGAGGCGGCCTCTTTGTTGTTTTTTCGCAGAGGGGGCAATCCGGAGCGGTGGATCCTCTAGTTTGGCATGCGGTGATAGAATAGAGCTATAGAGTAGGTAACTACAGAGATAACAGGAAGAAGAGAAGGTCTCATTGCCTTGCTCGAAGTTTGAAACCATACCATAGATTCGACAAGTATTGCTTTTTTATTTATTGAAATATTTTCTCTTTTATAATACTATTATTATATGTCTATAATTACTAAACTCATCATCAAACTTTTTTTTTAATTTAAATATATTTCTAAATAATTGCATACACAATGATTTAAATAAAAACGAAGCTAAGTTATTTCAGTACTATTACTTATTTTATTTTATTTTAGTATCAATATTAATTTATAATTACTTCGAACAAGGTTGAAAAAAAGAAAGATGATTGAGTAATGAGAAGACGATTCAAAAGTACTTTCTAAAACGAGCTAGCACAATAAAAAAACAAAGAGAGAGAATAGAAGTTGATAAGAAAATTGAGTAGTAAGAAAAATAATAAGAGGAATCAATAAACGGAAGTATATACATATGTATAAACAGAATAATTCGGAATTATACCATCTAAAGTTTCGGTGACGTATTAATATATTTGAAAAAAAATTAGCTGAGATAAAAAAAAATTAATCTAAATCTTACATTATTCAAATAGATAGATAGATTATAAAGTTTTATAAAGCTTTATAAAAATCTTTTATTCGATTTTAAATCAATGAATATTTCTTATACGCAAAATATTCCAAGGAGAGAAAGGTTAGCAAGATGATGTTCAAAATTAAAAAGTTTTGGCAAACAAAGTTTCAAGAGCATAAATAAAGAAAAGTTTCTTTTGTAATTAATTTACGATAGATTTTGCTATCATACATTAATTTTGTCTTAACTCGAAATTTGATTAAAATATTTTTGAGATACATATTTAAGAAACGTTTAATTTAATAAGTTATTAAATATTTTAAATATAAAATAATTTAAATATATATTTCTCTAACAAATTTTTAATAAACAAGAATTATATTTCACAGTTTTTAATTCTCATTATTATCTTAAACATTCTAACGCGTTACCAAAATTTCCGTTGGTATCACCAAATTTTCCTGTCTATTGAATGGCCCATAACAGGATTTTAATGTTATAATCGTAAGTTTTTTTTTTTTTTTTTTTTTAATATATTTAGGTGACAAATTTTATATTTTATGGAAAGATGCTTCATGTAGAAAAATTACATAAAAAAATTATAACCTTAAATTATTAACATAATTAGTCAATTATGTTTTTCACGATGCAATTATAAAAACAGTACAATATTTGTTATAAGTAAAAATATTTATATGTTAAATATTTTATTTATATAACTAACGTATGCCATTTTAAACAGAGACTAATAAAAAATGCTGTGATTATACTAGAAAGGATTAAAAAAAGAAAAAGAGAAAAAAGAAAGGGAAAAAGAGAAGAGGGGAAATGAGAGAGAAGGAGGGAAGAAAAGAGAAAGAGAATGAAAAAGGAGAGGGGAGAGGCTTTTAGTATTTCATGATCTAATAATAATAAGCACTTCTCAAAGAACTAAGAGATTACTTAATTATTTTGCAACAATTTACTGTAAAACATACGTTTACGAAAGCTTCTCGGACTAAAAATAGCTTTTAGAACATTGTTATCTTATACACTTCCTTCCTGTTACAGGACATCCTATATACAGCATGTTCCAGAACTATCGCATTTCCTTTAAACCATAGATTCTACGATTATTTCAAAATTGACTATTTCTTAACAAGAACGTGAAAGAAGACATAATTATACAGTCCAAGAAATTTCAATATAAAGCAAGTATTATAGTTAAGTATTAAGTAATATAGTTTATATTTCGAGTAAATCAAATTTAACAAGTTTAAAAAAAAATTTCAATAAAAATTTATAAAAAATGTAATTATACATAATAATTTCGAAACAAATCTTAGCTAGGAAATAGTCAGCATTCGAGAATCTTGGTTCAATAGGAAATGCAATATTCTTGGGATATTCTGCATATACATAGAACTATAGAAGTAGAAATAGAGAAGGAGAGAAAAGTACAGTGGCTAACTGGCGATGGCCCAGTAGATTGCCGTGACGGCTTGCGCTATTGTACCTTCCCGCATGTTGCGTCTAACCACCACCGAGGCCCGTGTGCCACCCACACACACCCGTTGCAGGACCTTTAACGCATCCACTTATTAACAGTATCGTTCACTGTCACGATGCACTATCACACATTTGTCAATGACGGCACCCAGATTGGCAACGATGCTACTGAAGTATTCCATTGCGTCATCACGGGAAATATTGCGAGAAGAGAAATCCGCGTTCCGAAATTTCCGCCCGACAACGGAGTAATCAAACGCGAGATAAAAGCACAGATCACCCACCGTTACTCCGAATGACTCGTAACAGTCAGTTGAAGATAACTTTGTGTGACCGTTATTTAAAAATTTAACTGTCATTAAACAATTCAATTTGATAAAATAATCTTCGTGTTTTTTGCGATACTGCAGGAGGATGGAGAATCTGAGGTAGAAAGTGGATCAGAAAGAGGGGAAAGAACTAAAACACTTGTCTTCTATTATGTATATCATACGCAATCACATCACGTAATGCCGTTTGGAAAATCTTTTTCAGGACACGTTCAGACGAGTCCAAAGTGTTCGCGAAATGCGAATCTCCGAAGTTGTTTGATCCCATTTAACAAGTCTCATTTAGATTCCTTCGAATATTAATTTCAACTTGTATATATCAAAATAGTCTTTTGAAATTTTCATGCAATTGGAAGATAAGTAATTGTAAATTTGTATAATTCTTTATCTGTCATAAAGAAGTTCTTTAAGAAGACGAAAAAGTATTAAAAAATTTCGTGCACATTATTATTCGTCAATGATCTTACAAGGTCGTTCGAGTCTGTCAGACTTTGTCCATCTTTGACCACTTTTTTTTATTCTTTTCATTGAATATCGTGTTGAATCCTGTGTCGCGTCGGAACAAACTCAAAGATAGGTAGAAAATGATAAAGAAAAAAAAGAGGAAATATAAAATACGAATACAAGGACTAGGAAATCAAATAAACAAAAATGTAAGATACTTCATAATTTTTTATGAAGTCTTTTATAGGTTTATAATATCCCATTAATTTTTGTTTCTCCGAAGATCTCAATCGTTAAATATGAAAAAGATCTTTCAAGCAATAATTGAAAATGGAACACTTCACAGTATAAAAAAAATAAAATTGTAATCTTTTTTGGAGCCGTCAGACAATCCAACATATTTGTTAATCACCAGTTTGATTATTGTTTTACAAAGGCAATCTAGATCTTTAAATATAAAGTTTTTGATTACGGGGATTAATAAATGTTCACAGAACGTGACTACTAAATTATCATTCAATGTCGAACGCATATTTAATTGCAAATATTAAAAGGTAATAAAGTAAGCATATGCTTAAATAGACTTATTAAAGAGATTTTTAAAAAATCCTTGAATAGATATATCAGAAAGTAATTACCTACATCCAATTATTTTCATATTAACAAAGTTGACATCGTTATATATTATCGTATTTAAAAACGAACGACAATGAAATAACGGAATTGTGGTTATCGTGCCCGCCAACCAGGCGGGTCCATCAGTCCATTCGCATTATGTGCATGAGTCTGTTTAAATCACGTTTATCATTCTATCAGCAGATTCATGGGTTTCCGGCTTGTACAAACCGAAATCTTAGAATGGGACGGGGATGAAAATTGGGATAGTAAGGAGAGCCCAAAATAAAATTGGATCACAAGATTGAAACACCAATAATGGCACACGATATGTTATTCTCAGTTACGGCCGGGTCCACCTCGACAACCACGTTGCTGCGACTGCCTTGCGTAACCTTGTCGAACACCAGCAAACGGAGAGTGCGTGCCACCTAAAGGGGCACCGGGGAGAAGCAGGCGGGTAGAAGAGGAGTCTGATTCAGTGAAAAGAGAGGGGAGGCGTGTGAGCGATCACTGTCACAGATCACACTGGCCGAGTTCCCGCGGAGTAGACTGGTCCGCGAAGAGAACACGTTTCGAGCCGTAGCGAGCCCGGTGGGTTTCTGAATCACCAGTGGTGCGTGTCAGGACGCCGTAGCGGCCGGGTAAATGGTGGCGGGAGGAACGGGAGAAACGAGAGGGCGAAAGAAAGAGAAAGGGAGACGAAAGATGGGTGGGAGAGGAGAGAGAGAGAGAGAGAGACGCGGCGACACGCGTTTAGGCGGCAACTTTGAGAGCTTCGACGTAGCACTCCCGTCTCGAACGGCACGGGCAGACCGTGCGTGGTGTCCACGAATGGTCCACGCAGGGTGAGAGTTCGGGTGCGACCCCCGGTGGGACGTCGGGGCGGCAAAGGTACAGTGTGGAAGGCGCCGGTCGAGGAACACCACCAGAAACCGCCGCGGCGTTCTGCGGAGGCGCCACCGTGACTGCGAAACCTCTGTCCCCTCGCGCTTCTACCCTCTCAGGAGTTGGAATTGGTTGCGCGATGCACCCCTATATATATACATATATATAATGTATGTACATGTGTATGCGCGCGCGCGTGTGTTGCGTGTTGCATGCCGCGTAACGTAGTCCTATGCCATGATCGAAGTATGCTTGTGTGCGTGCGTATGCGTGTGTGCGTTGTGTGCGCGCGCGCGCGAAAACGGATATGTGTTTGTACGGAAGAGAGAAGTAGGTGAAATCCACCTTCTCTACCCACCCCATACCCCACTCGGCCCGTTCGTGCTGCTGCTCGTGCGTGGGCTTTCGTGGCCATCGAAGTCGATATCCACCCCCGTCCCAACCAGTGGCTCGCATATTATCCTCAAATGTTTCTCGGATAGTCATTTTAGGGATTCTCAAGTGTCCTAACTCGCCAAGTGTCTTTTCCTAGCCCAATCTTTCATAATTCGTAATTATCATTCTTATCATCTGTCTATTTCTCGTTTACCGCGAAGATATTCGTTTTTTTTTATTTTCAGGAAAGTAAATCTTCTATAGTTCGGATAGAAATGGAAAGCGGGGAGAAAATCTCCTGATACGGAATAAATCCAAAAACTATTTCTCCTACTGTATTGTTAAAGATGATGTAAATTACACGGATTAAAATACTCATATCCATCGAAAGTGCCAAGAAATTTAAGACTCCGTATTTGTAACAGAAAGAAAATACACACAATCTGCCTTAGAATCCATACATTTTTCACAAAATTTCAACTATCTCATTTTTCGCGCATCAAATCATAAATATATTCAAATAATATCATTAATGTCTAACAATAATACATACATAAAGTCAGAGCTGAATAATTTGGTTTTCGCAATGATTTTATTTTTGAAATATATAAAATTTTGATTTTTTAATTGAAATCTAAACAAAATAAAAATTTAGATGAAAACTAATTTGATAAAACATACTCTGTATAAATAAAATTTGAATTCATTGAATTGCGAAAGCTTTCAAAGTTTATTTGATTCATTGTTCGCAACGTTGAAGATTTCCTTAGTTTTCGTAGATCGTAATTAAATTAATCGAACGAGAATACTGTTGCAAATTCATCAACGGCACAACTCAACAAGCAAGATGAGTTTATTAAATAGATTGTAATTGCAAAAAAAAACGAAATAAAAACAATTTTTGCATGGTGACGTTCCTATATACTGTAGATTTTAATATACGTGATTTTCAACTAAACCTTCATAATCTCGCATTCTATCCCTAAGCAAAAGATTCTCCGAAAAGAACTTTCGACCCCTAAAGTTCAGAGTAAAAGTAAATATCACGTAAAAGCGAAAAGCTGTTTAACCATTGAATCTCTAATTTTAGGCTTCTCTAATTTTAAGAGAACTAACACCTCGTCGTAGGATATCCCGATCTCAAATAACACGAAGCAATTCCCAACGCATCTTAGAAAATATCTTAAGAAGGATCGAATTGAACGAGTAATAGAGTGGCAATATTTCAAGTACATTGATCATTACATATGCTTAATATTAATATCCCGCTTCTATAATACTATTTTTCACATTAATGTTATAACTTGAATATAATTAAGTATAATTTAAATATAATTTTATAAGCATTTTTAATTAAGAAGTCAAAAATTTAAATTTAATTATATGAAAGGACAAAATTTTTATTTTCTTGTTATAATGATAAAAACTTCCAACTTCAATATCAAGTAGTAAAAAAACAAATGAAAATTATATATGTGTACGCCATCCAGCGGACAACTTCCGAAGCTAAATAGTCACGTCGCAAGCTCTATGACAACGATTTTAAAGTGTACATATAATTGTATGTATGTACATACATACGTATGTATGTACAATGGCTTTCGTATCGTCGGAGTTAAAAACTGCGTTACCAACTCGATAATGCAAAAAATAAAAAATAAAAAAACAAATCTGAAAAATCTTAATCGAATAAAATGATTGCAAAAATCATTATTTATTATTTAAATATTTAATTTATTATTAAATTCTGCTTGTAATACAAAGTATAACCATTTTTTAAATTATTTTCAATAGGCAAGATTTTGTTCCATTTATAAAATAAAACTTATCAAATTATAATAAAACAATAATGATAGCTAGCTTTAATTAAGAAGTTACTACTATAAAAATTTATACTAATTTATTTATAATTTTATTATCACTAACCTTTGAATTCGATGCACGGTTCTACGCGTATTTGCAGCATATGCAACATGTGATACATTATGATACAGGTCATAAATATTATTAATAGATTATATGTATGTTGGATATATGTTGGACTATCTTGTGCCTACAAAACTTAATTATTTCATACAAGTTAAACAATTAATTTAATGTACGCAGATATTTTTCAGATATACATATCAGACATTACAAAACATATTTTAATTATTCAAAAAAATCTCTATATGTATGTTTTTAGAATAAACTTATCTTTTTTATGTTTTTTCTTAGAATTATTATTTAATGTTTAATGACATTAAATAATTAATTTCACATAAAATCAATCAAATTTTATATAATTATAAATGTCAAAAATAAACATGAAAGTATTATAATAAAAAGCACACATTCCGTATTTTAATCGTGTTTTCACTGATTTACGGAGAGATTCACAGCAATTCTTGACATATCAAGAACAACTAACTCATCAATATGATTAAAAATAAAAAGACAATTTCCACAAAGTCAAATTTAATCTATCCATATCTTTTGTAGAACAATAGAAAATTTTAGCTAAAAAACAAATTTTTCTACCTCAAAAAAAACTCAAGAGGATTTTACGAAGAATTTTAGAAATATGAAGCAACGCCTGATATAAATTGTAAACTCTACATAAAAACTAAATCTTTCAATCATTAAACTTGATTGTGTCAAAAAGTTAATCATAATCCTAGCGTATTATTTTTAATGACACAAATATAACAATCAATAATTCAAAGCTCCTTACATATAGATGTATCACCGAGTATCAATTCATACTACTAATAGTTCTAATGAGCATAAATAGTAAGCATTTGTATTCCCTGCAAGCATTAACAAGTCCATTTTTCCTTCGTACTTTATAAGAAATATAGATGACAAAGAAGAAAAATGGCAAAGAATGAAAAAATGGAAAAGAAGAAAAGATATTATGATCACTTCAGACACTTTAAAAGATAAAAAAGAATATTGAATGACAAATCAGGAGTATTTCTATCTGTACGCCATCTGTAAATAGTCGAACAAATTGATTTTGATAAACTTTGTCTATAATGTTCACAAATTTACATATTTTTTCAAAATCAAAACGCAAAAGTATGTATGAATTTTATCATTATTTTAAACTTAAGTTTATTTTAAAATTCTAATTTTATTATTTATTTTAAATAAAGAAATGCAAAGATATCTCGGGATTTATTAAATTTTGTATTATTATTAAATTTAAGTTATTAAGTACATTTGTATATATTTTTTAATCTTTTTTACTCATTGTCAGAAAAAAATGAATTTTGCTGCTACAACAGTACTGTCTATCATTGCATATTAAATGAAAGCAATTAAACTCATCAGTTACTCGGAAATAATGTGCAAATCCAGCAAAATTCTTTGAGCAAATAAAATTAGTATTGTTGATGAATCTTTTTACTCTCCGTATAATATTACAGTTAACAATATTACATGCTACGATAGCATAAAATATACTGTGCCAACAAATCTTTTTCTTTATGTATATTTTATACGCACATGTTTTATGAACAGGTTTGATAAAGAGCTATTTGAAAGTCCTAAAACAGAAAGCCAGTACTGTCGGCCCTGCATATCTTTCGTCAATATAATTTATAAGACAAAAGCTTTTAAATAGCTTCCAAATGTTCACAAGGAGATGTAAATTGTCGCATACAGAGCACATACTTATGTAAGACGTTCATATTTGGGTAAACTTCGTATAAATATCACTATTTGATATTTATTGATTTGACAAACATTCATGTAATAGTAAACAATAAACTTTAATTTTTGTTGTTAAACAACTTTAGGATTAATTTTTAATTAATATATACTGTGTCCTAAAAAAAAATCCATTCCGTATTCATCGAGGAATACATTTTCTGCAGTCGACATTATATACATAGTCTGTATAATTGTTGAAAATTTTTACGTATCTTCTATTTACTGAATTTCTCTTACAAGATATTAACAGTATTTTTAATTAATCATTTATAGCATCGCACCAATATTTTTTTATTATGTATAATCATTTACCAATATTATTAACATAATGTCACAAATATTTTTGAGAAAAAACCTAGTTTAATGTAATTTAATTACTTTTTAATATTTTGGGGATTTCTGAATATAAAAATGATGTGAGAATTTAAAAAAAATTTGATAGAATATATTAATCTGATATATTAACAATAATAAAAATAAAAGAATGATACAAAGAATCTATTAATAATTTTAATAATAATAAATCCAAAAACAAAGAAATACAGTTAATAGTTAAAATGTAAAATGATCATGTTTCTTTCGCTGCAGATTTAAATTGAGACTGGCGCGCGTAAGATTTAATTTACGTCCTGACGTCACAGGTAAAGCGAGAATCAGAATGAAAAAGCAGAACGACGTAAAAAAAAAAGAAAAAAAAATGGAATCTATCGCATGATGTAATCAAGAAAGACGAGAGATGAAGTTGGTCCGTTGTCGTGACACGATGCGATAAACAAAATACGATAAAAAAAAGATTAAAGAACGATACGTAAATACTGAAAAAAATGCATAAATATATAAGGAAAATATGTTAATCCTTCAGTCATTTCAAGGAACTGGACAACGCTATATTCTAATTTAAACGTTTAA